TCTCCACCATCTCAGTGGAAGAAGATACAGAGGAGAGCTCACGATCAGGCCGCGACTCCATTTCCACGGCCACGGACCTCACCCTCCCACCCTCCAACACAGAGAAACAGCTGAACGGAGGACGCACCAAAGAGGACAAGAAGAAGGAGCGAGGAGGGAAAGACAAGAAAGACAAGAGCAAAGCCAAGAAAGGCGTGCTGAAGGGCCTGGGCGACATGTTCAGGTAGAGTGAACGGCCTTAGGTTTTTCTGGGGACTCCCTGGTACTATTTTATTTTATTTTATTATTATTTATTTTTTTACCTTGACCCACACTCTTGCTATGATTTGTTGATGCCAGAGGCTGTTTAGATGGAGGTTATTTTTAATAAGGGCATGTTTTATTCATCAATGCATAGGTTTCCTGCTTATATTCATCACTGGTAATTGCTGGACTGGAAACTTTTCTGAAATATACACATTAATGTGCATGGCAGCAAACGTGTAGCTTTTATGTTCCTGTAAACAGCTTTGTTGCCTAGTTAAATGTCACCCCAACTGTGACTGATTTGCAAAATTTCACCGCCAACTTCACCCTACAAAGAGGTCGAAGCAAATGCGGAATCGGTTAATTTTGAAAATAAATCCATATGGAGGATTAACATTTACTCGGCTTCTCCTCGCAAAGCTCCTCCAGAGGGACGAGACAAGTACAGATAACACACTTTTGGGGGCTGCTATCATGAAAAGGTGCTTTCCTGGTCTCCTGCCCCTCTGGGCTCTTTGAAATAACGCGTTGTGCATCCATTTGGTTGAGAACGCAGGAAGTGTTTCCCAGTGCCAGGCTAATTAAGCCGGGGCCTTCATTAATTATTCTGATTTGGTGCTCATTTGAATCCCGCATAAATTATCCACACTCTTATCTGCTCAATATGTTGTTTTGAGGCGGATTAGCGTAATGGAATTAGTTAGCGTAGTGCTTTGCATGCTGTTCCGTAATGAACAATAAAAACTACAAGTGTTTCCAGGTCATGTTTCAGGAGCACTTAAGGGTTAGTTTTAGTGCCCCTGGATTCATGCTCCACCACTCCAGCACTCTTTTGTCCTGTAGAATGAGTGTGATGGACAATTACTAGGCCATAATGACATGTTAGGTTGTGGCCTGTGTTTTGAGCTGAATTTGATTAATTAATTAGGAATAGGAGCGTGAGGACTTCTGCATTCATTTTAATCAGCGTTTAGTAGTGGGGATTGGCACAATTGTTGGCGTAGCGTTACGATTAACACGTGTTATGTGCATACTTTCATTACTTGTTAAATTGTCAGAGATTAAATTAAATGGAAATGGAACTGTATTTGTTTTTCTTCCAGTATTGTGACGAATATTCTGAGTGAATAGAGAAAGAGAGAAGTATGTAGGGTGGGGAATTAGTTACATCCATCGAGGCAAAAATGCCATCAAAATGAATGAAAAAAAGCAAAATATGCTTATAAATATTCATAAGCA